AGATACGTCTGGCGAGTTCGGACGAGGAGTACGGATTGCAGCTTTCTCAGGATCCCAGGTGGCAGGAGTTATTGCAGCAAGCCAGGACTCGTCGGGCCTCGGCCGTGGACGTCCAACGAGAGGGAGCCCCGCCAGAGGACGCCTGGGACCGACCTCTGGGCCAAGAAGAGGATTCGGCCCCTCGTGTTGCGGGCCCTCCGGGCCCCGAGCCAGGTGGGCCAGAGGCCCCGGTCCGTCGTGAGAGCCCCTCGGTCCCGGGGCCCCCGTCGGGCACGATTCGGGCGGCTGCTTCCAGGGCCTTTCGGGCTGGGTCCGAGTTGGGGCAGGAGTCTCACGCAGGTTCTGATGTCGCGCAGGCTGGCAGCATCCGCACCAGGCTTCCATCGATTGCCGAGAGCGAACCATCGACGGGAGATTTGTCCAGAGAAGTGACGCCAGGGAGAGAGGAAGGAAATCCCGGTCCCTCTACTGACGCTCCTGCTCCTTTGTCTTCCCCTCTCCCGCCTGTCGCCCCTCCTTCCACTGTTTCCCCTCTTTCGCCTCCCCCTGAACCTCCTCAGGCCACGGCGGGCTCGGCACCTCGGCCCCGAAGGGTGCTGACTCAGCCGGAGGACACGCCTTGGTGCATCCGCGCCCGGGCCGAGGCAGCCCGAGCATCCAGCTCGCCGCCAGAGTTCAAGCCGGCGAAGCTGGAGTCAGCCGACCCGTCGTCCTCGTCTCCGTCCGCCCCTCCGGTCTCCAGTGGTAGTGGTGGTCCTCCTCTCTCTCCTCCTCCGGGCCTCCCCGCTCCGTCTCCTACCCCAGGGCCGGGGCCCGGGACCAGGATCACTGCCGGCTCCGAGCCGCGCGTGTCAGTTGCCGATAAAGTCCAGGAGATCGAGGCCGGACGGGCTCGTGCCCGGTCACGCTCTCCCATGAGAGATGAGAGTTTTTCCGAAGGAGTGTTTTGGGTGGTTCCCGGGGCCGACGGCGTCGCCACCGTCCCAGCTGAGCAGCAGGAGCCGACGAGAGCCGAGGAGCATGACGGCGGCATCTTCGCCGCGAGCCGAGGCGGCGAGGTCTCGCTGAGAAATCTTTCTCCGGCCGACCGGGCCAAGTTTGAAGTGTCCGATGCTAAGGAGTGGGAGGCCATGAAGGCGACAGGTGCGGTAGAGGTGGTGGCCCCAAGCAAGGCACGAGTCATCCGTCGCGAGCAGCCAGACCGCATCATCTCGAGCCGGATGGTCCGCCGCTGGAAGCCCCAGGAGGGCACCTTCGCCGCCCCCGACGCCAAGTCGAGGTGATGCGTCCACGGGCATAAGGACCCTGACTCCGGAGCCCTCGAAATATATGCCCCCACTCCTCAGACGTCGTCAATCATGATGTTCATCCAGATAGCCATGAGCCTGGGTCTTCTATGTGATATCGCCGATGTCAAGAATGCTTTCTGCCAATCGGATAGAATGCATCGAGCACAGGGCGAGATCTACGTAGAGCCCTGTGAGGGGATCGTGCTAGAGCCCGGATCCCTGATTAGGCTGTTGGTCAATGTCTATGGTTTGAACGATGCCCCTATGGCCTGGAGGCGTACCGTTGTCAAGTATTTGGAGGCCCATGGGTTTGTGAGGTCCCTGCTGGAGCCCTGCTGGTGGATGCGCTACGATGACAAGGGGCGCATCGCCAACATGATACTGCTGGAAGTAGATGACTTCTTCATCGGGAGCTCAGACCAGGTCTCCCGGGACTGGATTAGGGGGGTTCTGGAGTCCAGGTTCAAATTCGGGAAGTATCGGGATTGCCAGGCGGGCACGGTAGACTTTGCAGGCCGAAGGATCACCGTCGCCCCAGATAAGGCAGTGATCGACATGGAGAAGTACATTTCAGAAGAGATCCGCCCTCTGTCCATGTCCAAGGGGCGCCTGGCTCGCAAGGACTCCCCCCTGGAGCCTCAGGAGTTCAAGGCACTGCGGTCGCTCGTATACAAGTTCAATTGGTTGGGCCGTGAGGTCCGACCCGAAGCCGCAGGTGTAGCCAGCATCCTGGCCAGCAAGCTGAACCAGGCCAGGACCGGGGATGTGATCACGGCCAACAAGTTGGCTCGCCATCTGCGCTCTACGGCTTCCAGGGGACTCACTGTGTGGCGACTCGACCCAGACAGGATGGCCTTTTTGTCTTTCTCGGACGCCGGTGGCATTGGCTCCACCGACGGCCTGGATGACGAGCGTGGGCTGCCGGTCGATCCCACACAGGGAGCTTGGATGGTCCTGGCGGCCGATCGATCTGTGTTGGACAACCGTGCAGTCCGGGCTTCGATTCTAGGTTGGAGGTCGTCCAAGCTAAGACGAAAGGTGCCATCCACACTGCTGGCGGGAGATACGCAGGCTTTATCCGCAGCAGTTGCAGAAGTAGAGTTTTTACAGATCATGTATCGGGATGTGGTCTTCCACGATGTGGACGCTCCCGATTGTCGTCGAGCCTCCGGACCATTTACAACCGTGCTGCGACGAGACTGCTCTCTCGGATCTCGTGAGAAGCAGGTGCATGTGGTCGACGCCAAGTCGATCTACGATACGATGCAGAAAGAGGGCAATGCATGCGCGCGGGACCGGCGCACGGCCATTGACCTCGCCATCATCTGTGAGTCCCTGGAGCGAGCTCGTGGCCATGTTCGCTGGATCCCACACGGGCGGATGCCAGTGGACGCTCTCACCAAGGAGGACGTCACGAAGTGCAATGCCGCTTTGTTCGATTTAATGTCCCATGGCCGCCTGATTTTAGTCGACGAGAGCTCAGAGGTGGCGAGACGCCGCTCCGAGCCGCAGCTCAAGAGTCGATCACAAGCAGCTTCGAGAGAAGAACTCGCTCGGGAGTCTCAGCCCACATGGATCCAGTTCCTGTCGGGGAGTTCTGCCGGTGGTGGTAGTAGTGGTGGTGTCGGTCCTCCTCCCCCCTCCTCTCTCTCCTCAGCTGAATCATCTATGCGCAGTTTGCCCTTGCCATCTCCGCTCTTCCAGTAATAATTTTCTCGTGTACAGTTTCTGTCCTTTCTTATCCCCTCTCCGTTCAAGTAGAGAAGGGGGCCGTTCCAGCGCAGGAACGGATAGTTGCTTTTAGTTGAGCCCAAGAGGGTGCTAAACCTAGGAGAAGTCGGACGGGTGTGACTGATCTCCAGAATTTACGTATTAGGTTTAGCATTTGAGATCTTTACCTTGGTAGTCCTACCGAGTTGCAGCGTGTGCTCGGTGTACTGTTACCCTCTCTGGCTCAAGCCCAAAAACGTTCATCCAATCCTGTGCTGCCACAGGGGGGTGAACATCCCCCCCCCCACCCCTCCCTGCGTCTGGACGGGCTCCCCCGCGAGGTGTCAGAGGGTCCGTGTTGGTCCAAGATGGTTCCAAGAGGGCTTCCGAGCGCAAGATGGCTTCCAACATGGCCCAAGACAGTGGTAGATGGGCCAAGATCGCCTCCGACACACGTCCAAGAGGCCTCAAGACGACCCCAAGACGGTTGCAGGTGCCCTCCGAGGCTTCCGACGACCCCCCAAAAATGCCAAACTCATTCAAAAACCTAAGGACAATCAATGTGTTGTGCCTTCTCGCTATTTCGCCTCCGATGGGCTCTTCAAGCCTCAAAATGGCCCAATGACGTCCCAAGATATCCCCAAGAGGGGTCCGAGAGGGCCCCAAAACGGCCCCAAGAGCGCTCCAAGAGCGGACCAAGAGGGCCCCAAAACTGCATGTTGAGCCTCCGAGGGGGGGGGGCCAGGAATTAAGGACCCCCCTCTTTTTTAGCGAAAGGGTCCAAGACGGCCCCACGAGGCCCCTCAGGCATCTCACAAGAGCCACAAGAAGGCACCCAGACCCCCCAGAAGAGCCCCCCAAAGGCCCGAACACGCCCCCAAAGAGCCCTAAGGAAAGGCCCTAAGAGGACCTCAGGAGAGCCCCAAGAAAGAGCCCCAGGAGGCCCCAAGAGGGGCCCAAGATAATACCAAGAGGGCCCCAAGATGCCTCCCAGTTTCGGAACGCACGATAGTTTAATCTGCAAATCAGTCCAACAGACATTGCAAGTCATCGAAACACCCCTCGCCCATCATCGAAGCACCATCGTAGCTTGCATCGGTTTCCATCTTAAACTCCAATGCGGGAAGCTATGTGTGATGCTTGTTTTCTCGAAGACGGCTGCGCGACTGCATGCGTCCTGCCGCCCCTGATTCACCAACTCCCCTGCTGATCGTTTCTGGATGGGCTGGTGGCGATACTTGTTTTTGTGATCGCGACCGCGAGCGGGCACCCGCGCGGCGTCGTGAGGTCGAGCGAAGACCGTAAGCCGGTGGGCACAGCGCAACTGTCGCCGGCGAGACGCGGAAAAAGCAAGGGGCCACTACGAGGAGGCTGCGCTAGCGAGCGGCGTCGTAAGGTCGTGCGGAAAAAGAAGGGGCCGCTACGCCGAGCCAGCCCTACACGGCACCGCGCACCGCGGGCGAAGCAGGAGGGGGCGAAACGACGAAGAAAGCGAAGAGCAAGAGAGAGCGACAACGGAAGGCTGGTGGGGATACGCGAGGCGTCAAGCATTATTTTTCGAAAGGGTGCCTTCATTTCAAAATGGAGCTCTCGCTCGAGACATCCTCGCGCTTGTATGACCCGAAGTTCCAAATGGTGCAACACTTCCACGGATGGAACGCCGACCCTTTCCAAAACTGAGCTGTCACTGGACACCTGCTTGAATCATCCTACCTCTTCGCGTTTCTCCCAGCTTGAAGGATGGCGGGCGAATCCTTTGAAAAACTAGGTCTCGCACGAGGCCCACTGGGCGCTTGTCATTCAAGGGGGTCGCTTCTCACAAGGGAAGGGAATATACTTTTGGGGATCTGTGCGAAGGGGATTTGGGATGGGAGGGCGTGTTGGAGCAACATGGTTCATGCATCCTGGATTTACTCTGATCATCCCCCCTCTCCTCCCACTTAAGACTATCCTTCTGCTCCTCGTCCACCTGCCCCCCTCCTCCGCGTAGCGCGGGGGCTCCTCATGCCGACCTTGCGCATCGACATCATTATGCAGCCGCCGAGGAACTGCGTTGCGCGGCGTCAGGGCAGGAGGCATTGAAGGATAAGGACGAAGACTGGGAGACTGATGATGATGATGATGCGCCCGCCGGAGTGTCCCGATAAGAGGGGAGGTGGGTGAGGAGGACGACGAGGAAGACGAAGAAGAAGAGGGCGAGGAGGAAGAGGATAAACTAGCAGGAAGTGAAACAGGACGAGGAAAGCGAGAACGAGAAGGAGAACGAGGACGACGAGGCCGACGGTGAGGGGAAGAAGGAGGAGGAAAGAGGGACGACAGTGAGGAGGTGGAGGAGCCAGAAAAAGAGGGTGGGCACAGGCACGGAGGACACGGAACGGGCGGGGCAAGTGCGCCGAGGCGTTCCCTGGCCAAACTCCATCAGGTCTCCAGAGGGCGGAAGGAGGCCAAAGATGCTCAAGGAAACGAGTTCCTCGATCTTTCGGGGGTCCCAAGACCGTGTGGTGAGAGACCGCGCGGCAACTTCGAAATCCCAAAGGATTTCACCGCACGGTCCGTCACTTCACAGTGTTGGGACCCTGGCGGCCCCAATCGACCGTTACATCCGCGGAGAACGACTCGACTCGCAAAATCATGCGGTGACCACGGATACCACCGACTCACCACACGGCAAGGTCACCATTCCCTTCGGGGGGCCCCGAATCTTTGGGTCTCGGTGGCGGGAGCAGGCCGAGAACGCGATCCTCGATCATCTAGCCTTGACCCGCGATCCTCGGTCCAGAGGCCTCGATCCTCGATCACCCTTGGTCCTTCTGGGTCTGACGAAAAAGGGGGCTAATAGAGGGGGGGTTGGCGAATCAACTCACGTAGCTGTTTTTTTCTGGCGCCTCCTGGCACCGGGAGGCGCCAGTGTTGAAGGAAGGCGCCCGACGGCAGGGCGGAAACCAGCTGCACGCAGCAGACTTCGTTGCCCCTGCCCCTGTCCGTCATTAGTGGGAGCCCAAGTGATCCTCGTCGCCTGGCTGTTCGGTCACTACTCGGGCCTGGGGCAGCCATTTGGGGCGATACGGACACCCGAAGAACGCTCTCGACAAGGCGCAGCCGCTGGAAGGCACCCCGAAGCTGGAGGACCGCCGAGAACCGGCGAAACCGTCCGAAGACACCCGTCGTCCGAAACTGTTTCCTTCAGCCCGTGTGTGCAACTCCCGGGGAGCGATTCCTCGGCCCGTGAGCAGCCAGCCTGGCTGCCACCGCAACGGCAAGGAGGGCGAGGACCGCACGGCCGGGCCTGCACGCTTGGCGGCCGCGGGCGGGCGGGCCGCCCGCGGGCCTCGTGCAGCTCGGGGTTGGCGCCGCCGCCCGCAACGCCGTCGAGGTCGAGGCCCTCCTGCCGGCAGCTTTGTCGACGTCGTCGCGGTGCCGCTGCCCACCCGCGCCGTCGCCACCGCTGCCCGAAGTCGCCACCGCTGCCGCCTCGCGGCGGCGGCCCTCAGAGGGCGGGGTGCCGATGCCCAGGCGGCCCTCGGCAACACGCGCGTGCGGCCGCTGCCACGGCGACCGCGGCGGCAGCGGCGGCGACTGCGGCGACGATGGCGACGACCGCCGCCCCCTCGGGAGAGCATGGCCTCCTCGGAAGAGCAGGATCGATTCTCGAGGCTCGAGGTTGTTGACTGTCTCTGCCAAGGGACGTGCCCCGCTCGGCGGCTCGCATGCAATGAGATGGCGGAAATGAGCTCACTGAACACAAACAATGCCCAAGGACGGTCCCAACCAACTGGGCAAAACGGCAACGCGGATTGTTTCTGCGTCCCTTCTAGGTTCTCCCGCGGGCCTCCAGAGGTCCCCCGGGGACCTCCTGAGGCCCCTGGTGACCTTTGGAAACCTCCAGAGAACTCTGGATTCTCTGGAGGCAGTCGTCGCAGCCGCCGTCGACGTCGTCGTCGAGGCTCGAGTGTCGAGTTTAGGGGAAGTTGTGGGGCCCCTTCGGGCATCCAGGAGACATCTCGTCGCCACAGCTAGATTCGCCTCGGAATCCTGGCGAACAAGCACCCCAAGAGAGGCCCGTGAGTCGTCGTGGTCGTCGTGGTCGTGGTCGTGGTCGTGGTCGTGATCGCAGGCGTAGGCGTAGGCGTGGTCGTGGTCGTGGTGGTGGTCGTGGTCGTGGTCGTGGTCGTGGTCGTGGTCGTAGGCGTAGGCGTGATCGTGGTCGTGGCTGTCGTCGTCGTCGTAGTCGTCGTCGTCGTCGGCGGCAACGTCATCGTCGTCGTCGTCCTCGTCCTCTTCCAGCAGGAGAAAAAAAGGTGTAAGGACGAGGAGGAGGTGGGAGGAGGGGGACTGGGTGATTCGAGAGGGTTCGGCGGGCCAGAACGGGTTCTACGAGGTTCGAAGGGAGAGGAGGCAGAAGGGGGAGAGGGAGAAAGAAGAAGGGTTAGGGGCAGGAGGAGGACGAAGGCAGAGAGAGAGGAAGGAGGGAGGAAGGCAAATGGGAGGGACGGGGATCTCTCTTTGCGAGGGGAGTTTGTGTGAGTTGTCGATCAGTTCCTGGGAGCTCTGCAGTCGGCTGGGTGGCAGCCCGCAAAACAAGGCTGCGATTTCATTTACGTTGATTGGTCGGTCACCTGCGCACACTCGGACAACCTCGAGCGCAGGAGGGCACGATCCAACAACGACGGGCTGGCCGCGTCGTGCGCTGTGGGCGTCAAGCGGAACCGCTATCCCCCCTCAGGAGGCGGGTTGGTCCCGGCCGTCTTGGAGTCGGGAGGGCTACGGCGCAGACCTGCCCGAGGCGGACCGGTCGGCTGTCATCGCCACCGCGTGGCGCCGCATCCAACGTACGCTGGTCGTGGGGAATGCGGAGATGATCCTTAGCGCCTGCTAGGCGCCCGCGGCGCAGGCCAGCGCGTCGACGGGGATGTGGCCGCAGGGCGCCGCCGGCTCGACGCCATCGGCGGCACCCACCCGAGCAGTAGCTCCGGGCCTTGCGGAAGGCAATCACCGTCGGCCACTCCGCGACAGGCGGCGCTATCAGTGTCGCCCTCGGCGGCGACCAACAGGGCCAGGACAATCACCAGCGCGACCACCAGCGGCGAGAACACCCCTGACACGGCCACCACTTCGTCCACCAGGGCCATCACGACAGCCGCCACGACCACCACAACCACAGCTACCACCACGACCACCACCGCAGCGACAGCATCACGACACCCACTGCCTACACTACCAAGACGTCCACGGCGATCCGACGACCGCCCCCCGCCTCTCCCCTTCCCCCCGCCTCCTCCCTCCCCCCTGCCTGGCCGCCCTTGCATGCTGCTCCAGGTCTGTTGTCTCCAGTGGGAATCGTAATTTGCATGCGTTTCTCATCGCATAGTTTAGTTAATCATGTCGCGTGTTTCGTGGCTAGGGACCTGGGCCGGGACCATAACCTCAATGCCCGGGGGTCCCCCTTGGTGACGGGGTGGGGACCCACTCGGGTGCCCCCAGGCCCTTTTCAGAGTGGAGGAGGAGGAGGAGGAGGAGGAGGAGGAGGATGAGGAGGAGGAGGAGGAGGAAGAGGAGGACTCGTGAGGAGGAGAGGAGAAAGGAGGACTCGAGAACGGCCTGGAGCGGCCAGCTGCCCCGTCCGGCAGGCTGCCCTGGCTGGACGGCCGCGCGCAGTCACTGCCCGGCCAGGTTCTCCCTGCCTGCTCTCCCTCCCCTCCCCTCCCCCTTCCCTCCCCTCACTCTCGTGCCATGGCATGGCACCTCGCGCAGCGGAAGAAGGGGCTCCCCGGAGGGGTCGCGCGCTCCGCGCCCAAGAGAACTTGGATGCCTTCTTCAAGAACCCCCCCAAGAAGGAGAAGGAGAAGGAGAAGGAGAAGGAGAAGGAGAAGGAGAAGGAGAAGGAGTAGAAACGCCGACCAGCATGGACGTGCCCGTGCGGCACTGCAGATTGGCCGTCTCGGAACTCGTGCCGCAGTTGTGGCCAGGCGCATCGTGCAGGAGGCGCTGGAGGCGGCTGCAGCACGGGGCGAGGGGGGGTCAGCTCCCCCAGACCACCGGGGAGCCGGCAGGCTGCCAGCGCCCAAGGTGGGCGCCGCCGCGGCCGAAGGCAAGGCCACCGCCGGCGACTGCGGCGAGCATACGCGCCACGGCCCAAAGTCCTCCAAGAAGTTCCCACACTGGCCCAAGAGTTCCCCAAGACGGCCCGAGACGCCTCCGAGGCAGGCAAAGGAACACCCAACACAGCTCCGAGAGGGTGCCCAGACGGGGGACCCGAACGGACATCTCCTCGTCCTCCTACTGCTCCTTCCCCCCCGTCCTCCGTCCTCCCCCTGCCTCTGCTCCCTCTCCTCCTCCTCCTCCTCCTCCTGCTCCTCCTCCTCCTCCTCCTGCTCCTCCTCCTGCTCCACCGCGTCTCCTCCTCCTGCTCCTCCTTCCCTTTCTCGTCGTCGTCGTCGTCGTCAGGGCCAGCAGCACTGGCCGTAAGGCATTCACAATCGGCTTCGGAAGAGTCTCTGAATCTGACAAACTGCCGTTTCGCTCGGGAGATCCTCGACAACTCGGCTTCGGAGGGGACTCTGAATTCAAGAATGGCAGCATCGCTAGGAACATCCTCGACTAATCAGCCTCGGAGGGGACTCCGAATCTCAATCATGACAGTTTCGCTCGAGACATCCTTGACAATCTGGCTCGGAGGGCCAACGTGGCCCCAAGAAACATTGCGACGATTGGTATCGACCATCGTCGAGGCAGCATCCCTGACACCCACTGATTGCAAACTCTGCGTGCAAGCTTCCCCGCTGCGACTCCGTTCTGGGGGCTCACCAAAACATGGTTTTGGAATCAACGTGGCAGCTTCATTGCCGATGTTGCAACATGCGTGACAGGAACGGGATTGGGCGCACATCCGGTGTCGCTCTGGTCGCGGCGCCGTGCTCATTTCCCTTGAGAATTGAACATTTATTCGGGCTTGGCGCGCATTTTTCGCTCGCCTCGTCGACGCGCGAGCAACAAACAACTGTCGCTCTCTCCAAGGCGCCGTGCAGATTAAGCCTGAAAGTAGCGGTCCTGCATCGGCGGGACGCATCTTTTTCAGCGCGGCGCATGAGTCGCCTTCGACGTGCTCATCGGAAATTTAGCCGCCCGAGAGAATGCTAACTGGTGCTCTCGCCGCAGCGTCGCGCAAGAACTTTCTGAAGATCCGTTCCCGCCCGTGCGCGGCCCGCGCTCTGTTTATACCTCGCTAAGCCGTCGGACGCGGGACCGCGCGCGAGCACCTTCCGTTCGCTAGGTGGGAACGCATGTCACGCCTAATGTCACGTTGTGCCCCCATCGATTCTGATATTATGGGGGGGAGAGTGAGACAGGGCGGGGCTTGCTGTCTCGTTCGCCCTGGCTAACTCGACCTTACCTGTAGGCTCTTGAAACTCGCCAGTCCACAGTGAATCGACCCAGTTCGGATTCGAGTCGAAGGGAAGCCCCCTCCTGATCTTAGGGCTGCCTTGAAGCCACGCAGGCTGGCCTCGAGCCAAATCGTCCAGTAGCAACAGCCCGGCAAAAAGGCTGCGGCGATAGCGCTGGGCGACGAGCGGTCCAACTGCTTCTCCAGGCCCGCCAGCCGCTCCTGCGAAGCTGGGGGAGGGAAGGGGGGGGGGGGGGGGCACCGGCGAGCGAAAGGGCCCTCCCTACTCTACCTCCTCGCCCCCCTCCTCCAGCTTCTCCCATCCTCCATCCTCGCTCCTCCCCTCCCCCCTCCTGACCTCTCCGCTCGCCTCCCCTCCCCGCTCCCCCTATGCTCCTCTCATCCTCATGATTATCCACATCCAACATCCCCCCTCCCCGCTCAACTTCCCTCCCTCTGCTGCCCTCTCGGCCCTCCTCCCCCCACATCATGCTCCCTCCCTCCCTCCTTCCTCAAGAAGAGGCGTTCGAATGTTTACGCAGCGTTTTACATCATGTCCCCAGCTCCTGATACATTCGCGTGATATCAGAAGCTTGAATTTCGGAAATATCCAACAAGGTGAGAAGGAGGAGGAGGAGGAGGAAATGAAAAAGAATGGAAGAAGGGGGGGCGGATTTGATGGACTTCGCACTTCGAGGGCCTCTTGGGGGCCACCTGTCGCCACGGCCGGACTCACCTCGAAAGCCTTGCTAGAACGCGCTCCAGGACAGGGTCCCGGGCCCAGAGATCGACTTTGAGGGAGGAGGCTCGGAAGCCGATGCTGGGAGCCTTCGTAAGAACGCCTATAAACTCTTGAGCACCCTTAGGGGCGACTGAACTGGACTAGCCCAGAGTTCGCTGGGGGCTCAGCTGGATTTCGCGGGATTCAACTGAATTCTGCCAGACCGAGCGGGAGTAGGCCGCACTTCGACCAAGTATGTACCAGCGTCGATGCTGAATGATTAGGAAAGATTTCGACCAAGGATGTGCCAGCGCCGATGCTGAGTGCTACCTCTTAGGCGTTGCATCCTTAAGGATGGGGGGAAGGAGTCCCATGCCTCTTCTCGTCTTGAACACATCGAGCAAGCGAGCTAGCCTTGCACCAGACGGCGCGCGAGCAATCTGAAACAGATCGCCGCGGCGCAGACTTGCGGCGCTGCCTAGTGTTGTTCGGACGTCATGATTGCACAGCCAACTCCCATGATCAGCGAAGCCCCATGGGACATGAGATCAGCGCGGGGCATAGGACCAGCGCGGCCGGCGGTGACAGGCCTGGGCTGCACCGTTGCCGAAACCTCTTGCGAGCAGCGCTGCGGCGAGGCGCAGCGCTCCTGGGCGGCGCCGGTCACAGGCACGAGGAACGCGCGGGCGCCGAGGCCCCAGAAGCCGAGATGTTGTACAATCATCGTGCTTCCATCAGGACTGCGGAATTAGGATCGAGGGGGTTTTCTGGCCACGGCGAGCCCCAACCACGAATAGGCTCCCCGGCCTAGATCGAAGGAACGGCCCGAGCGCCAGTCCTTCCTGAGCCCAAGGTGGTCCATATTCTAGTGTACTGGCAATGCTGCTATGATGCTTGTTGTCTCTGGCCCCCTTTGCTCTGGGCTCCACGGACCTCTAACTCTGGTTTACCGAGGAGGGGGGCGACAGAGAGGGGGTGCACATTGGGCACGTGCGCGTACGAAGGGGGTGGGGGGGGCCCGGGAACGCATTGAGAGAGGGAGTTTTTTTTTGGGGGGGGGGGAGACCGACCTCTTGGACGACCCCGACTGACGACCACTTTATCCCGAGCCGCTGGCCACTCGGAGCCCGCGGAGGCAGCTTGGGAGGGCCCTTTAGGGCCCCTGCCGGGCCACTACCCTGAGATCCTGGATCCCCCTACGCGTAGTCATTGCCCCCAGTGCCGGCCGCCCGACCATCGGGCACCAGTCTGTCATCCCTGCTGCCAGAGAGTGGCGAGAGAGCTTCGGCACGATCTGTGCGAGTCGCCGGAGAGCTGGGCCATGCACCTCGAGGTCGACCCCCAGCCTCTCCTGGGGCGCGCTCTGCCCAGGAGTTGGGAGAACGCTTCTGGAGACGCAGAAGGGATCACGGCCTCAAAATGCTCCCGTCTCCCTTCTCCTCCCCCCCCCTCCTCCTCCTCCTCCTCCTCCTCCTCCTCCTCCTCCTCCTCCTCCTCCTCCTCCTCCTCCTCCTCCACCTCCGCCTCGTCCTCCTCCTCTCTCTCCTCCTCCTCCCCCCTCCTCCTCCTCCTCCTCCTCCTCCTCCTCCTCCTCCCTCCTCCTCCTCCTCCTCCTCCTCCTCCTCCCTGGGCTGTGAAAGGCTGGGCTCCTTCAGCTGGGGGTCCTGGGCCTGAGGATTTCTGAACGGACCAGGCCGTGGCCATGAGGGTGCCCCTGGATGCCCAGAAAGGCCCACGCCAACAGACAAACCAAATCCTCGATCCTGATTCCTGGACTGTCCACGGCCGTGCGGGCACCTTCAGCTGGGGGTCAACGTCGTCGCCCTTCTTGGCGAGCAGCGCCTGCCCGCGCCGCCCGCCAGCTGCGCCCAGGGGGCCGGCGGTGCGGGCGAGCCATCGGTGAGCCTTCGGCAGGCCCTCGGCGGGCCCTCGGGTCTTCGCCGGCCTTCGGCGAGTCATCGGCGGGCCGCATCGGCGCCCGCTTCGCCAGCGCGGTGGGCAGCAACAATGGCGACGGGGCGCGGGAGGGAGGGCAGACGGGGCGGAGGAAGGGGGGGGGAGGGGAAGAGTCGGAGGAGGAGGCGGGGCGGGAGGAGAGGTGAATGAGCCAGAGGAGTGGAGGAAGCTGGCGGAGGGACCGAGGCAGGAGGGGGCAAGGGGAGGAACAAGGGAAGGACCAGGAGGAGGACGACGACGACGACGACGAAGACGAGTAGGAGGGAGGGAAGGAGGGAGGGAGCGCGATGCGATCCTCCTGCATCTGTAGCTTTGGCATTCGAGTCCCATGCGATCCTCCTCACTCTCCGCCATCCTCCCTCCGCCCGTCACCATCCACTCTCGACAGCTGGAATTCTTGATCGACTTGCTGGCACAGAAGGTCTAGATTAAATTATATGTTCGTCCTGGGAACCTTCCTGGAGCCACTCGCCCCGCTCATGCGTCAATGCTACGTCGAACGTCAATCGACTTGAGTCGATATTGACTCGAAATACAATCGAACCGATCGGCTGGGTGGATCCTACCAGGATCCCCCGAAACGAGCATCTAAACAGAGAGTCCCGGAGAACGTTTTCGTTCGTGGCCAGAACGGGCGGTATGGGAAGCAAGAGGGGGGCCTAACGTGACGCTTCCCACCCCCGCGGTGTTCCCCTGGGACCACCGCAGCGCCTTGCGCGCACCTGACCCTCGCAGCAAGGGTTCGGTCGCAGCGCCTTCCCGCACCACAGTATGCCCGCGAGCACCACGCGCGATTGAAACCACCGCACGGCGAGACGAGGGAAAACATAACCTGCCAGAACCACAGCAGCTTTGCGAACGCAGCAGTGTACGAAACGGTATGTCAGACCCTGATACAATGAAAATGCGCGAGTAAAACAACCTACAAGCACGTGCCGCCGCAGAACGCTAGCGTCATAACAAAACCTCAACTACCGACAGCCCGCGAGCACTGCAATACGACAGCGAGCACGACGACGACGACCACGACGACGGCGACGAACGAGACGAAAAACCACGGGGACGACGAAAACCACGACGACGACGACAAAAACATTCGCGAAGACAACGAACTCGACGAGGACGAGGACAACGACAACGACAACGACAACAACAATAAGAGAAACATCAGTAGCAACAACAGCAACACCGACGACAGCAATAACAACAACAACATCAGCAACAACAACAACAACAACAACAACATCAGCACCAACAACCACATTAAGACTGATCGCTCTTATCTGAGCGCGTGCCATTCAACACGTAAATTGTTGTCGCTTCGCGAATCCCCACCAGCCCATCCAGAAACGATGCCCAGAGGAATTGCCTCGATCAGAGAAGTGGGCAGCACACAGAGGAAGCCATTATGAGACATCTTGGGATATCTTGAGCCATCTTGGAGGTCATTTTGGGCTCTCCCAGACGCTCTTGGAGTCATCTTAATCCGTGCCCCCCCCCAAGAGGCCTCCATGTGGCTAAAACCTGTGTAGAATCAATGATTAGGCATTCTCGCCGAGGCCTCTTGGAGCATCTTGGGTGCATCTGGGGGGGCTCTTGGGGCCTCTTGGGGGTCTCTTGGGGGCCTCCGGGGGGCCTCTTGGGGGCCTCTTGGGGCCATTTTGGGGCCATCTTGGGACCTCTTGGGGCTTCCTGGGCGCTTCTTGGGGCCATCTTGGAGGAGATCGATCAAACAAGAGGGGGGGGTTAATTAGCGTCCCCCCTCGGAAGCCCCTAAAATCGCCTCTTGGACCCCTCTTGGAACGCTCTTGGAGTGCTCTTGGGCGCTCTTGGGGCCGTCTTGGGGCTCTTTTGGGGCTCTCTTGGGGCCCTCTTGGGCCATCTTGGAACCATCTCCAGGCCTCGGATGGCCATCGGAAGCGAAAAGGCGAGAAAGCAAAAATCATTGATTTTCCTTAGGTTTTGGGACGATTTTGGCCTCTTCGGGGCCTCCTTGGGGAGCTGTTTGGCCACTTGGAGTTATCTTGGGGCCGTCTTTGGGCTTCTTGGAACCATCTTAGGAGCCATCTCGAGCGATCTTGCGCTATCTTGAGCCATCTTGGAGCTCATCTTGGGTTCTCTGAGGCGCTCTTGGAGCCGTCTTGGGCCATCTGGGACGCTCTAACTACCCGCGGCCCCCCCCGTCCAGGTCCAGGGGAGGGGGTAGGGGGAGGGGTAAACCCCTCCCCAAGGGGGAAGAGGGAGGGGTGGAAGAGGATCTGCTCTAGACCACCTACGCCCAGAGGGCTGGTGGGATTCCAAACCCTCGATACCCGCCATCTTCCCTTTCGTCTTCGTCTTCGCCCCTGCAACCATTATTTCATGCAACCCCTTACGACAGAGGACGAGAGAACGGATGGAAGAAAGGGACAAGGGGGAGGGAGAAGGATTGAGCACGAGAGAGGCAGTAGCAGGAGGGGGGCCAGGAGCAGAAAACATGTGGCAGAACTTGACGGGCAGATCGGGCGGGTAGACCCTAACAGGCGGGCTCAGGCGGCCAGGTCGAGCAGGCGGGTTGCTGAAGAGTGCGTCCTGCATGAGTCGCGAGTCTCGAGCCACAACGCGACTCCAAAGTAAACCGCGAGATAGGAGAGAGAGCGCCCGTGGCGCACTCCCAAAAGGGGTGGGGTCCCCCCTCAAAGTTATCCCCCTCCCTCGTTAGACCTGCCCTGCCGGAAGCCCCCCCCACCCCCCCTCTTTTCGTCCCGCGCCTCGGAAGCTGCCCCCGCTCCTTTCGCGCTCTTGAAGCTACCCCCCCCGCCCTTTGAACCTCCCCTGCCGGAAGCCCCCCCCTCCCTTTTGGGCTAAAGGGTGGGGGCTTGGAAGCTCCCCGCCCCATTGGCTAAAGGATGGAGCGCCGAAGACGAAAAGAGCGCCGAAAACCAACAGAGCGCCGACAACCAAAGAGCAACCGAAAACCCAAAGGGTACGAAAACCAGAGGGCGTCGAAAACCAAAGAAACGCTGAAAACCGAAAGGGCACCGAAAATCAAAACGGCGCCGAACACCACAGATGTCACGAAAACCAAAGGAGCACCAAAACCCAAAGGAGCGCCGAAAACCAAAGGAGAGCCGAAAACAAAATGCGCGCCGACACATAAAAGGGAGCCGAAACCAAAAAGGAACGCCGAAAACCAAAAGAGCGCCGAAAAGCAAAGGGGCGCCGAGAACCTAACGAACACCGAAAACCAAAGAGGCGCCGAAAACTAAAAAAGGCTTCGAAAACCAGCAGCGCGCCGAAAACCAAAGAGACGCCGAAAACCAAAAGAGCGCCGAAAACCAGTGCAGCGCCGAATACCAAAAGGGCGCCGAAAACCAAAAAGCACTGAAACCTGAAAAAAGCGACACAAACCAAAGAGTCATCGAACTTGAACGGGACGCCGGAAACCAAAGGGGCGCCGAAAACCAAAAGAGCGCCGAAAAGCAAAGGGGCGCCGAGAACCTGACGAACACCGGAATCCAAAGAGGCGCCGAAAACGAAAAAAGGCTTCGAAAACCAGCAGAGCGCCGAAAACCAAAGAGACGCCGAAAACCAAAAGAGCGCCGAAAACCAGTGCAGCGCCGAATACCAAAAGGGCGCCGAAAACCAAAAAGCACTGAAACCTGAAAAAGGCGACAAAAACCAAAGAGTCGTCGAACTTGAACGGGACGCCGGAAACCAAAGGGGCGCCGAAAATCAATAGAGAGCCGACAACCAAAGGGTCGCCAAACACCAAGACGGCACCGAAAACTGAACCACTGCCGGAAACCAAAGGAGCGCCGAAAACCAAAAGGGCACCGAAGACCAAAACAGCGCCAACAAACAAAAAGAGCGTCGAAAACAACAGGACCGTCGAAAACCACAAGGGCACCGAGAACCAAAGCCGCGCCGAATACCAAAAGGGCGCCCAAAACCAAAGGAGCGCCGAAAACCAAGGGGGCGCCGAAAACCAAAAGAATAACGAAAACCAACAAAGCCTCGAACGCAAAAAGGTGCGCCGAAAACCAAAGGAGCACCGACAACCAAGAGCGCGTCGAGCCGAAGGGCGAAACCAAAACGGCGCCGAGAACTAAAGGGGGCGGAAACCGAAAGGGCGCCGAAAACCAAAAGGGCGCCGAAAACCAGAGGAGCGCCGGAACCCAAGAGGGCTCCGAAAACCAACGATGCGCCGAAAAGCATTAAAGGTTGCGCAGCATCCAAAACCAAAGAAGCGCCGAACGCCGCATGAGCGCCGAAAACAAAAGGAGCGCCGAACACCAAAGGAGCGCCGAAAACCAAAGAAGTGCCAAAGGCCCAAAACGCGCCGAAAACCAAAGCGACGTAGAGAACCACAAGTATGCCGCAAACCAACGGGGCGCCGAAAACCAAATAAGAAAAGTAGCTTCGAAGCCCCCTTCAGCCGGGACCTTCCGGGCGGAAAAACCAACAGGAGGGGAGGGGAGGGTCGCCTCGAAGCCCCCCCTGCTTTGGAAAGGGGAGCCCAGGCTTACCCCGGGTCCCGAAAAGCAGGAGAGGGGGCTTCCAAGCCCCCCACCCACTGAGCCAGGGACCCCCCAGCTCAAACATGCTCACAAAAGGGGGGGGTGGTGCGGGGGGAGCTTCGGGAGCCCCCCCCCTCCTTTATCAAGGGAGGGCAGGGGGGGTAGCTTGAAGCTGGGGTCCCCCTTTTAATGAGAAGTGCGCCACGAGCGTGTTCATTCTGAGATAACCAAAGCGAGTGCGTGATTCCTGAGTGTGGAGGCCGCGCGAGAGCGCGATGTGGGAAACAAATGTGAGAAAGTATCGGGCGGGAGCCGTTGTTGCTACTCGGTGGCCAAGGGCCAAATTCTGAGACCCAATACTCCCTGATGAACATCAGGGTGCGAGCACCGGGAAGGGCACTTCACTA